ATTAACTTTATTCGTTAATAACTCTGTAAATAATGATCTGAGCCAAAATTGAAAGAGAAACTTTTAGTTCAAAATTTCATTCTCTTTCACGCCTTGAAATATTAATTAAGCGTTACGGGACACTCTGTATGTGTGTATATATACGATCTCTATGCTTTATACAGAAACACATCTTATAGATTGTAATTTTTAATTTTTAGTTTTTATTTTTATATTTAATTTTTAGATATTTCTGCGATGTTATTTGCATTTCTTTACTTCCGGCAGCAGTCGGGAATTTTTTTTTAAAGTTTTGTTTTTTAATTATACTTTTTTCATTTATATTTTTTTGTTTAATTGTTTTTTTTCATTCTTATAATTCTTTTATCAAGGCTGATTGATAGAATTAATGTAAATTCGGCTACGTTGTAGAAGTTGGGACACGTGAACCTGGCATGGCTATACTATATTTAAAATCTCACCTTCTGGACCGCAGTACATACATTTACCTCGATCAAGTACCATAATATCATCGATGAGTGAAATTATCTGACTGCCCGGTTGATGTATCGCACAAACTATGCAGTAGAGTTAGCTTTTGCCATATCGTGTAGCATTTTAATGAGCTATTCAAGACAAGTATCGTACCTTCCAATATAGTTCCGATAAAGTACGTAAAGAGCACATTGACAATATTTAGAGAGACAATATAACAAAATAATGTGAACATTTCAGCATGTTACAGCGATATTGCTGTAGTATTTTACGCTTGCGTAGAATTATTAGTAGAATATAACTAGAAACAAATATCGATTATTTATGTCAGTTAATATTGAATAACGTTTTTGTAAAGCACGATATCGATATATATTTGCATTAATAATCTAAGCTGTACTTGGTTAGAAGCCGCACTGTCGAGATCACTATATATGCACGATACGAGATAGCGGATGACAGTGCATGATAAACAGCGATCGAAGATTCGACGACGACTTTAATTAATCATATAGTATATGTATATATACATGTATATGTAAACGAGTAAACCTTGTATTTGTGAGATATATCTCATAGGTTCTCAATAGTAATGTTGGATATTCAACTACAATCATAGTC